TTAAAATATACTATATGGCTCTCACTGAAATATATTCCCAAATATTTGCTTTGTTGGCTCTCTAAGTTAAAAAGGTTGGCGACCCCTGGTCTAGGCACAGCCTGATTAGATACTTACTGGAGCGAACCGCCGCCCTGTATAGTTGTCAAAACAGGTTGCAAGAACTTTCAGTGAGGTGTCGGAGAGGGTGTGCAAAAATGAATTCACTGAGTCTACGCAAATTGCAAAAAAAAACATGGGCAAGAAAAAACCCTCTGGATGACTAACATCCACGAACTTACCCCAGTTACGTTCATGCTAGCTCTTCTGGCTTCCATCCAACTCTGTTCCTGTCTATCTAATTCTTCTCGGTGCTGAAGTTCCAGGGTGGCACCTAAAGGCCTCTTTAAGTCTGCGGGTGGAGTGCTTCGGAGCCAGGGCCCGAGGCCGTTGGAGACCGCTGCCACGGCACTCTTCGGAACAAAGAGCACCTTCTGCAGACCCAACAGGTCGTACTGATAAGCTAAACCAACTAGCTGCAACAATAACATGACCAGGAAATCGGCAGTCATACCAGACCACAAGCGCAGATGAGGAGAGATTCGACCGACAAGGTGGCCAGCTATAGTTGGAACAAGGCTTATTAATCTGCAAGGAGGATAGAATCGGAAAACATACCTGAAATCCGAAAAGGTAAAGGAATGTCTTTCCGGTTAGTGGAATACCAAAAATGGAGGCTAGTGGAACTCGCGGAATATCAAAGTAGCAGGCTGGAAAGAAGGGATAGATGAGAAAGAAACTGTGACGCTGTAGAAATTCTAAGGGGGTTTGGCTTACGGTCCAGAGGGCAAATAGCGCAGTTCAAAGCTCAGAAGGCGCAGCAGTAAGGCGAGGGTCAATTCCAGGATTGTGGTCGCGACGGCAAACAAGAGTATTGCCGACTTTATGGGGGCAGAAAACGGTTTTATAAGTCTCCACACAAAGCTTACCGCATATTTACGCGAACCAAAACGTCGCTCGAAAATGCGAAGGTAGTAGATCAACAGGCAGCCAAGAACCAAGTCAGTGG